ATGTGGCTTCTGGGGCAAGTAGCACCTTCGTACTTTTCAAATTCTGGCATTTTGAATTTGTGAGGTATAATCACATCTGGGACCAAGCATAATTGCGATGCATCTGTGGGCCCGTATGACTCCGTTCCTTCTATAGCTCTGATTCGTTCATCGAGTCGTTCAAGTTTTTCTTTTGATGTGGCATCGATCACAGTTTCTTTTAACTTCCGTCTCCCTTGCGAGTCATCAAGTTTTGATGATCCAATTTTGTCTTTATTAAGCTTCTCGTTTATGGGTATACTGATGAATTTCTTGCCCGAATTGCCCCCATTATGTGGCTTGCCATTATCGTCATTGTAAACTGACATTTCTTCGTCATTGGTTGCTACCTCTTTCTTCTTTGCTGACATCATCCCTATAAGCAAATTTAGTTGATTTTTCACCTCGTCGACACCTTGTAGCTTTTGATTGAACCCAGATAGCTTTTCATCGAATCCGGTCAACTTTCCTTTAACATCACCCATCTTCTTCTGGAATGCCTCCATGATGGGCTCAACCTTGGATCTTGTCAAATACTTAAAGACTTGACTCTCTTTCCTCGTGGATGAATGATTTTAGAAACCCTGAACCATCTTAAAACTGACAAATTAATTTTCATTTTTATTATGGGTATGTATGCATGATGCTTATGCAAATGTTAATGATGTATGAATGCAAATTTATTTTTCATCATGCATGCATTTTTATCTTTTTATGATAAGTTGTAAATGAGCGAATGAAAATCTTACGACAGAATGATGCTTATGAATTTTAAAAACATTTTTCATTCATACAATCACATAGTTTTGCGAGTAAAAGATAAAACACAATATCAATAAATCGCAAGCAACATCCATTTAGATTACCAAACACATATAATCACATCGTTGCCCTATTTAGGTAGACCTAGGGCTTTCGGGCGGCTTAACGACATGGTTTTAGGGTGGTTTTCAGGATAATATTGGACGGGTTAGGGAGGCCTCTATGCTTACTATATGCTGGCAGGGGAATTCCTAGGGATTTGGCTCCCAAGTTGTATCCTGCCGTAGCCCTTTCGAACTAGCTAGATACCTCGGGATCATCCTCGGATCCGAGTTCAACTTGGTTAGAAAGTTTTGCATGACTACCACCACTGTGAAAGTCACGGTACTCCTTTCAATTTTCTAAAGGGATAGCTCGGGCATAGAGCTTTTGGTGCATGAATGCAGAATTAAATTGGGAAAATATAATTGCGCAAATAAGAAAGTAAACACCCAACACGTAATAGGAAGTTAGAAAAACTTATCGACTTAATAAATGTAGCTCGACTCTCGAATGTTCCCCAGCAGAGTCGCCAACTGTCGCAACCGTCCCTCCAGGGGGTCCGATTTCGTCGCGTCGGCTGTTTTGGGAGTCGCCATCGATCTTACTTGGAGTGGATCGAACACTCTTAGGATCAGCTCTAACCTTAGGGTCAGAACCGAGATATGGTCTGCGAAAATGAAGTTCTGGGTTCGGGAGTACGGTTACGTGTGGGGAAGTGAAATCACACCCCACAACGCCCTAAATCGGTATACTTAAGTCGATAAGTTTCATATTAGTTGGGTGTATATTTAGTAATAATTTAGTAATTTTAGGGTCCCACTGGACCATTGAAGAAACTAAATCTTGTTAGTTGTAATTAAATTATACGTCCACTGACGTAAAAGATATAATTAATTGGTTAGTTGGACTCGAACCTTATCGGTTGCCTACGTACCCGTTAGACGGGATCAAAGTCCACGTAGTTCGTTCGAACTTTGATAATTTAATTGTAATCACGTTCCACTGATCATGATTTTCGTATTATAATTTTTGTTAATAATAAAAATGCATTTAGATTATCATGAGGTTATGACGATAAATGCGAGTATTTTAGTTATTAGGAAGTATTGTGACGTATTGAAAAAAACGAGGTAAACTTAATCCGCAATTCTACATTTCGTATTAAGGATTTTGAAGGAATAAAATTAAGCGGAATGGTTAAATTGACGGATGATGGGCCAGCAGCCCAACTGGTTATGCTCCCAAGCATAGTGATGTTGTTGTTGGGGACGCGGGTTCGAAGTCCGCCAGCCTCATTTTTGTTTCGTCGCTTTTTGGTTTCAGAGAAAAGGGAGGGGCAATTTCGTAGTTCACGAAAACGCGGTGGCAAGTCCACGTAATAAACGGGAAACCCTAGGGGTATTTTCTTCGTTTTAATCGATGGGTTATAAATACTCTCTAAAGAAACCCTAATCAATCTAAAGAGAGGCGGCCGCCCTCTCTCTCTCGTCCATCTCATTCTTGCCTCTCTCTCTCGATTCCTTCTTCCAGAAAACACACCAAAACCCTCAACTTCTCCTCTTCCAAAAAATAAACGAAACCCTAATCTTATCCCTCCTCTAGCCATCGCCGCCGTCACTCTCTCCTCATCCAGAGAACACAAACCCTAGCCTCTCAACCGCCGCCGCTCTCTCCTCTTTTCCTCTCGCCAAACCAGAAAATCCATCTGGTTCCTCGTCGCTGCCGCTCTCTCCTCTCACCTCTAGCCTCTCAACCGCCGATCCCTCTTCTTCTTCCTACCTCTCGTGCTCTTTTCTTCTCTATCCCAGAAAGCAAAAACCCTAGCCTCTTTTCTATGCCGCCGCCAGCAAAACGACCCGGGTGAAGAAACTCCTCGGAGCTTCTCCTTTAGCCGCCGACCCTTTCTCTCCTCGATATGACGTAGGTCGCTAAAAATCGAGCGGGAGACCTTCGATCTAGGTAAGATCGTTGCATGCAAGTCTATTTTCTTTTGATTTCTGGGTTTTTGAATGAGGTTCTAACCCTTTTTCATGTTTTTCTTTCGGAGATCGATCCAAAACCGAGGAGGGACTCTCGATCTACCTCTTTCTACTCTCGGTTAACTCTTCGGTGAGCTTCTCTTAAACATGCACGCTTAGATCTAATTTTTTTCACACAAGACGTGATTTTAATCTTGATTTTTGTTTGGGTTTTTGGTGTTGGACGAGGGGGAAAAGGGAGTAGATGGTCGCCGGCGGTGGTGTGACGACGTCACACAGGTGAGGTTTTGTGATTTTACTTTTGATTTATTATTCCTTTGATCAAATCTGACCTCTACTCTTGTTTTGTCACAGGTTTTTAATCCGAAATTAATGTAGGTGAGCCTTTTTTTAACTTAGATTATTTGGCTAAGATTAATTAAACGGAAAGATGAAGACATTGCTTGGTTTATTACTTTGGATTTGACGGATCTTAGACAGATTCGAGTTCTGGACTCCTAAAATTTCTATATGCATTTGGGTTGCAACTTTAGGTAGATCTGGGTTTTGCATGAGCATAGATTTGCTAGAGGATAGCAATTAACTAGAACTAATTAATCTATATTTTACTTAATTTGTGAGATCTGGTTTATTGGCAAGAATGCTGATTTTTGGTGAACTAGGAAATGATTTACAGATCCGACTTTTGGTAAAGTCGGTTGTTTTGTATGCTTTGGACTCATAATATGCAAATCAGTTTCATAAAAAAACACAATTAGTTTTACTTATAATAGGCTAGATCATTAATCATCACAGCCACTGCTTGTGATTTGGTAGACTATTACCTGTAAATAACTGCTACTGCTCCTGATTTTGGGTAGGTTATGGATAATGACACTGCTACTACATGTAATTTAGTTAGAAAAAGGATTTTTGATTAATTTGGAAACTGATAAGAGTTTGTGAATCTAATATTAATGTCTTTATAGTTGCCATAGATTTGGATTTGATTTTGTTTGTTGTGTATGATGATCTAGTGTTTATCAACTATTAACCTAAAAGTAAATATGACGACATAGTATAAGATTATAAGAGACTATCAATTGATGAGAAGAGTAAACAAGTGCTAAATTGGGAGAAGCTTAATGACATCACTACAAGCACATATTAAGAGTGCTTGGATATAAAGTGGATTGTAAAGTAAATTGATTGAATATAAATAGGCAAGCTGATGGATGATTATAATGATTGCAATGACTTGATTAAAAATGAAAGATGGAAGTTGATACTAGTACTAACCTGAATTTCTAGGCCTAAGAATGGCCTTTTCCTGAATCAATCTTCAAATTCGCTCCTTCAATCTCCAATGAACTTCGGCTAAGAGCCAGAACCAAAAAACTGTTTGGGATGTCAATATTTCTATTTTTTGTAGAGTCTTTTCTTCTTCCATTCGTTCCCCTCAACAGAGAGCCCAATGAGCTCATTTAATAGCAAAACTATCCGCCACGTGTCACATGATAATTTGCCGTTACTGAAGCTGAAACTAGCGTGCTTCCTTCTGATTGGTCGAATTTTATGGCTGAATCTTAACCCTCCACCTGCAAAGTCGGTTGCTGAGTGGCTGTGTTGGAGAGCTCCACCTTGCTTGGTCGGCTCTGACTTGTCAGGGTATGGATAGGGTTGGCATATGATTTCGGGCCGAGCTGGCCGAAATGGGCCTAGAGATGTTTGCGATTTGGTCTTCGTCTGGGCTCGAAATGGGCTTCTTCCAGTCTTTCACTTGGGCCAAACTGGGCTCTGATTCTTGGTACTGATTTATGGGCTTGACCTTGTTGACTTTGAATTCTAGCTTGGGCCTGTCTTGACTGATTTTCTCTGATTTTGCAGGCTGCTTTTGCTGGTCTGGGCTCCCCGGTTATGGGCCATGCTTGGATTCTTGATACGAGAATAGGAGTAGATTGTTTCCTTTCAACTTGTATCTTGTATTTGAGGATGATAGTTGTACAAATTGAAATTTTTTGTAATGTTTGATAATTGTGGCGATCTTTTATTTTTCTTTGTAGAGATATTCTTTTAGCCTTTACCATCGAGCTTTGAATAATTCTTTAATACGAATCCCTAAACATGACCCATATCGCTCCTTGATTTGTTTTCATTCACCAAGTTTACTGTGCCACGCTTCTCGATTGAAAGTGGAGTTTGATGTTTCTATGATAGATATCAGACCGGACAAAATGTGGTGTCTACATCTTTGACAAAAGTTGGCTCAAGTGGTGGTGTCTCCGTCGAAGCTGTCACAACCTGCACATATTTAGGATTAGGTTTGACAATGTTGTTCTTACTCCTTGTGACCATAGGATAAGATGGTTTAGGAGTGTGTGCAGTGGCCGGAGCAGTTAATGGAGACTCGACTGGTGGAGGCGATTTAGGCGCCGAGCAAGTGATCGGTATAGGGGAGCAAGGCAGAGGGGTACCCCGGGGCACATTGGGCATTGGTTGGAGAGGAACCTGCGACACAACAAGAGTACACGAAGCCAACCATGATAAGGATGATGGTTGAGGAGGAGGGGTAGACACTAGGAAACTCATGTTCAATAAAGCTGACATGCCAAGATTAAAAGAGACATTGGGAGGTAGGTTCATAGCATTTGTAGGAACTCTGTTGATGGGAGTAACCTAAGAAGACACACGGACGGGAATGAGGGTTGAGTGTATGGGAGCTATAGGGGCAAAGCAATGGAAAACAAAGGCATCCAAAGCCACGTTATTTATTGTAGTTGGGGGGTTCATTGAAGATGACAATAAAAGGTACTCAACCCCAAAGAAAGAACGAGTGGAGACGATTGATGAGGTAAGTAGCCATGACAAATAAATAGGACCAGAAGGAGAAAGGTAAAGACGCCTAGTGGAGTAAAGTGAGACTGGTTTAAACAATATGACGGTGTTTTCTATCGGCAAGGCCATTGTGTTTTAGTGTTTAGGGACTAGGGGAGGTATAGGAAGGTGGGTGATACCACTGACACTAAGGGTTGATCGGAGTTTGATGAACTCCCCACCACCATCCGTATATAGGCGGCGAATGGTAGTGGCAAAAAAAATTTCAACCAAACGTTTGAAGGTAAGAAAGGTGGTCAACACATCAGATTTTAAACAAAGGGGATATGTCCATGTATAATGGGTAAAATGATCCACGTTAGCAAGATAATATTGAAATGCATAGACAAAAGTTACAAGTTCAGGGCCTCAGATATCTGAATATAACAAATCAAAAGGACGACTACTAGTGAGACTGGAGTCTCCGAAAAGGAGTTTATGACTCTTGTGGGATAGATAGGACAAACGACGTTACAAAATAGAGGACTTAGACAGAAGCAAGGGGTTAACACGAAGAAGACAAGATAATGATTTGGAGTAGGGGTGGCCAAGTTGTTGATGTCAGGATTGAGTAGAGTTCCTAGTCATCACCAACACCAACCAAACCGTCGAGCCTCCTCCAGGGAATTTATAGGTATCACCCTTGTTCCTTCATATCAGTAGTGGCGCCCCATGCGAAGGTCCTTCACAAGAAAAAAACCGGAGAAGAATTCCACCGAGACAAGTTTAGTGCGACAAAGTTTAGCGAGAGAAATTAACTGCTGCTTGATGGCGGAAACACACAAGACATCATTAAGAGCAAGAGAGCGAGTAGAGGAGGGTAAGGATGATGAGCCGATGTGGGTGATGCGCAAACCTGAGCCGTCACCAAAGTAAACCTCGTGAGGACTTTTGTAATCGGAGTAAAGGGCTAAGTTATCGAGATCGTTGGTCACATGATGTGTAGCCACAGAGTCCATGAGCCATGAGCCATCACGAGTAGAAGAGTTGGTTTGCATGGTGTGAGTCTGAGGACATTTTTGTGGATGAAGCTGGTATAGCCCTGCTTCGTTGTGTGTCCTAGTGTTTCGTTGTACTGGCACATGACACAGGAGGGACGATGAGTCTCTCCATCATCAATAGAGTGAGGGGAATAACATGAAGAAGGGGAGTTAGCGCAGCGAGGGTTTGAGCCACGACCAGGTCGACCTCTGCGGCGTCTGCGAGCACCGCCATGATCATGCTGAGTGTTGTACACCGTTGCAGGAGACAGATGAGAAACACGATGGGCTTTGATGCTAGCCACAAAAGAGAGCAGCTGATCAAGAAGATCTTTAAAAAGATTGGAGGGGTCTTGCAATCCCTAATGCCAGCCGAAAATTTGTTGTAATCATCGTAGAGGCCATGGAGACAAAGACAGACCAGTTCATCTTCGTGGACAATAGTGTCAGCAAGAGTCATCTCTGTTGCAATGCCTGAACGAACGAGTGGACAACTTGATGGTGATTGAGCTATTGTCGGACATGATGATCGTCGTTAGAGGTAGCTGTCAGAGAGGTGACGCTTAATGTGGGCGCCGAACTTTGAAGCTTGTGACGAGGGATTAGTGTTTTGAGATCAAAGCTGTAGGGCAAGAGGCCCTGATACCATGTAAGGAATATGAACTGTGTGTTTGTATTGATGTATAGAAGGGATATTTATACCCATAGATGTACATGTGTTCCTATACAATCAGGAAATAGAACTATACATGAACAAGGAAACTAAATACTACAAGGATAAAGACTTATCCTTAATATGTCTTACCGACAACGTCAGCTAGTGCATGCAGAATCTCCCCGTCGTTGCACTATCAAATCGGGTAAGAATCACTAACATAGCAGAAGGCATCTTTCTCTAGAGGATGGGATCAAGAGAGTTACTATATGCACTCTCATTCCCTGAAGCTCCAATTCGCCGAAAAGCCTTCCCCAGGCGTTGCGTGGAGATAATCAGGTCCCACCCAAGGAACATCTCCGCCTCAGCAACAAGGCCGCCGAACCCGAATTATGGCACTCTCCATGAAGAGCAGGGCAATACGTCGATGGTGCCAATGCCACTGTCGTCGATGTTGTTCGTGGAGGACAATGGCGGGGAGAGCAGCAACTGGGTGATTCAAACCAGTAAAGGGAAATTTAAATTGGGTCCACTCTAATCTCATTGGTCTGGTATGTGCTGATGATGTAAAGTGAAAACTCCATCAATTGATTTGCTCTATACTCTCATGCAAGCACTCAATTGAAACATATAGGAAACAACCCATTGGACCAAACTAATGATGGGATCAATGTTCCTTTTCTTTGGTGGGTTAGGTTTAAAGTGTTATAGTCTATGCCTTACTTCATACCCTCAAGGATATGCAATCAAAAGATTGTTTATTTAAATTCATGAGTCGAAAAGAAGTTCAAAGTAATCAGAAACTGAAGGGATTCAATTTTACCTAACAATTCAAGACATGAATTCCAATTACTGAAAGAAAACCCTAATTGAAAAGGAACACGAATCAGGAAGAGGACTAGAACAGAAGAGGAGCCCAGATAAGCTCGAGTTCCTGGCAGCAAGCCCCAACTGACCAGTTCTTACTGAGTTGAGGAAAATATTGCCCTTCTATTTCCATGAGAGGTTTTTATATAGAATCAGCCGCGCCATTCGTCCGTCTCTTTCATCTTCAATGCAGATTACCATTTGATCGAAATAATGATGGTGAGGGCTGATGCACAAGAGGCTCGCAGGAAGCTTTGACTGTTTGATGATGATGATGAAACCAACGAATGAAGGTGAAGACGCGAAATGGGGTCTTGACGAGGACAGAGAAGATGCAACCGCGTCAGGTGGGCTTTTAGATGAGTGGGCCTTTTGGTTCTGGGAAGGGAGACGAGGCAAGGCCCAACAATCTGCCCCTGCGTTCAAGCCTTTATTCCTGCAATCATCCAAAGCAATACTGAGGTATCTAGTTCAGCAGATTTCCAGAATATAGGATAGACTTTGTAACACCCCGAATTTTGGGTTCAGGTTCGACCATAACTAATGAACGGTGGGTTGGACGGTTAAGTACGGAATATTGTGACCGTGGGTTAAAAATAATAATAATAACAACATTAATAACTATTGTTATTATTATTAATATTATTATTATTATCTTAATCACCACCATCTCAATGCTAACAACAAAGGAAAAGTAAAAATAATAGAAAAACCCAAAATAAACCCCACCAGTTACAACCCCAACCTGTCTCGTTTCACCTCCCCTCCCCATTTACAATTAACCTAATAGAAAGAAAGGAAAATAAACCCTACTCACCTAGAGAGCTAGCGGCAAAACAAAAACAAAAGGAAAGATGAAAACCCCCACTCCGCCACTCGTCCCGCTCCGCTCCTAGCTCACCTCTCCCGGCTCTCAATTTATTCTCCATGCCACTCTAATATAGCCACCTAAGAAGAGCCATGGTTGGAATTATTATCTTCCCTCATAGGACCCGAGCAGCAAAGAGAAGGCCAGGTGAGAGTATGCGGCGCCGAAGCATGGAATGGAAGGAGCTATGAATTCATAACTTTTCAGCGGAGGTAGATGAATCAATACTGTCGCCGTTGGTTTAGAGCTACCAATCAACAAAACCATCGTACAAGGAGCAAGAGGACGAAACTAGCTAGCCGATCCTGGGGAAATTGATGTAGCTCATGTGATGGTGGGGGATGTGGTCGAGCAAGCATGAAACGAACAATTATTGAAGGAAAATAGATTCATGGACAGTGGCTGATTCAATTCATCTGGCTTTAACATGAGGTGAGTGTAAATGAGGTAAATTCTACGCCTTACGTATTCTTTTAAGTATTAGAGTTTTCAGTATTTTTGTGAAGTGTTCATATGGTTGTTTATGCTCATGGTTTATGATATGTGCTTGTTTGAGCTGTGGTTTATAGTGAATGTGTGATGTTTGCTTTAAATCTTTACGTTTATGAGTGATTGTTAAAGTTGTATACAAGTCCTTTTGTTTTAAGAAGAACTTCACCTTCAAGAAGGTGAAGTCGTTTTAAGTATTTTTAGTCACTAGCGCCAGTCTGTTGCCATTTGAGATCTTTGAGACAGAGCAGCAGTTATGCTCTTGAGATATTTAAGTTGAGCAGCAATTATGCTCTTGAGATTTTTAAGATGAGCAGCAGTTATGCTCTTGAGAATTGTGGAAGAAGAGCCCTCCACGATAAGTTTAAGTTTAAGGAAAGCCTTGATGGCTTCTCATACGTATGAGTTGGCAACCGGACTAGCTAGTAAGGGATCCCCATGCCAGTCAAGTATTTAAGTCGAGATTTGAGCTTTAAGAATGCAGAGTAACAGTAACTCCCATACAGTTTTAAGACAAGATTTTTATAATAGTGGAAGTACAAAACAACTTTCACTATGTTAAGTAAAGTGATCAATTATTAATAAGATGTTAAACATAAGGGAGTAGACTTACCCCAACTCACTCACCAGTTTGATGAAGAAGGAGCTAGAGGAGCATTTAGAGAGCAACGAGATCCAGAGAAACAGTTCGAGGGAAGCCAGCTAGAGGAGAACGATACGAGCGTCATTGGAGGATGTCTAGTCAGAGTTTCCTATGAGCAGCAGCAGTAGTTGAGACTAGTTAGTTATTACGTTTTATGATTCTGAGTATAGACCGGAGATTAGATTGAGATTTTAAAGATTGAGTTTAACTTGCCCATGTGTTAGGGCGTTGCTTTAAACTACAAGTGTGTGTTTTCAAGATTTTATTTATGAAAATTTTTTCGCTGCAATTTAAGATTTGAGTATTTTATTTATCAAAGGCATTTTAGTAAAAGTTGTACCTGGCCGGGTTAGTGTGTTACATTTTGGTATCAGAACCTATCTTCCTCTGTTCCTTGGTCTCCAAGGAATACTGGAATATTGGTCTCAGTTTTAAAGGCTTTTGTTTTAAAGGAAAGGAAAACAAGTCAAGGATATTCTTTTAAGAGTTTATAGAATCTCGAGTCTACTCTAATCATATTAAGGTGAATAACTATGATAGCACAACAAGTCAAGGATTTTGGTCCATAATTGTTTTTTTGAAAAATCCTAACCTCGGTGGAAACTTCAAACGAACGTATCTTTTTGTTCGGGTATCAGATCGTAGTGAAATATTTTTGATTTCGCATAATTTTTCGAGATCTTTCTAAACGCAAACCACGATGGTACCGCCTTCGTCCCGAAAAAATGTCGTTTGCTATCCCAAACGAGCTTTTTTCTATTTTGTCAAACTTTGGACAGCCATAATGCTGTGCTCCAAAATCCGAACGTCATAAATTTTTTTCATTTCACATAGCTTTTTAAGGAATACAACTTTTATCATAGACATAATTTCGTAATGTACGTGGATTTGTGAAAAAGGAAGGTAAGTTATTCCCAAAATCTTGTATATCCCAAAGTAATTCCTGTTTTGAAAATTCATTCCTAGTAAAAATTGTAGACCATAAAAAGTTATGCAAAATGAAAAAAAAATTTCATGACGTTCGAATTTCGAAGCACAAAGTTATGGTTGTTCAAAGTTATTGAGTATTTTTAGCGTTCGAGGAATAAAACTTTGTCAATATATTATTGTTTCAAAAGAAGAGTTGTAGTTTGTTGGTGTAGATGTTGTGCTAAATTTAGTTAACTATTTATTATATCGGGGATCGAACCACCATCTCCACAACATGTGGCTTTTTTTAATCTCTAAAAAAAATTAATATGGGATGATGGGGGTTTGAACCTAGGACTTCCTTCCCCTGCTGCACCGATTATTTCACTTTTACTTCCCTGAACATGTGGGTTCTCTCTAATGTTGTTAATGGTACAAAGCTCAGCTTTCCTCATCTCATGTTCAACCATCTTCTTGCATATGGGGACCATCGCAACGATGGGTATCTCCGGCCCCTTCTCTCCTTTTATCACTCATATCCTCCACTGCCTTGGTATCGATCTCGAAGAGAAAATCTCTACTGCTAATGCCCTTGACACCCTTCGAGCTCAACACGTGCTTCGACGAGTGGATGCAAGGGTAGGTGTCCGGAAGAAGCTTCTCACCGCCCAAGGGGGAGACGAGTACTATCGTCCAAATGGGGCTGAGCTCTTTGAAACTGGCATGTGAGAAGGTAATGATGCTTTCGTTCGGAACATCGATAATGATCTAGCAGCAGTGGCGAGGATCATGAAGAAAGCTTCAGGAAAGGCGCATGCAGACAAAGGAAAGAAGAGGTAGCTGAACGCCGAGAGGCATGAGGGCTCCTCCAAGGATACTGTTATGCGTCCCACCACTGCTGGAAAGCGCCAACAATAGAGTGCAAAGCCTGAGTGAGGAACCATCTGAAGAGGCCTTATTTGACTATGAATCCGATCCAGACTATGACTATTAAAATAAAAGGCCATGAGCCTCTGTGGCTATAGTCATGTTTTTTGTTTTAAAATAAGCCTGCATTATAGCGTGGCTAGAGTCAGTATGCTTGATGTTATCAACTAGATGGGTTTATGAAGGATTACTTGTTTTCAATATTGTCTGTGCAAGTCTTATTGATGGAATATTTATTTGTACAAGATCGGCCCTTCCACAGGTTTGGTCGATGCCAAGTTGAAAGGGAGATTGTTGGTGCAGATAGTGTTGGGACTTGGGACTAACACGAGGTGCACGATTATTGCAACTGACCAAGTATGTACATCTAGGCATCGATCAGAATCGCTCCAAGAAAAGAAAGTTGGAGGCCCTGATTGTCTATCCCCAACGGCTACCTAACCAAGAGGGAAAGTGAATTTATTTCCTCCCCATAGGAGTAAACCAAACAACGTCACAATTCCTTGAAGACTTAAGATAATGGATCCAGTATAAAAGGAATACTAACAACATTAAGAGAGGGCAACCTTTTATGGGAAGATAAATAGAAATACAACGCGGCTTGTAGGTCTCAAGACAGTGTGCATAACCATGGATTATGCACCCATTAATAACTAAATCTGGACCCTTCATTTCGAAAATCTAGATCTAAGAATGGAGAATTAAAGGTCATTTTAATTTTCTCTAGCTTTCTTAATCGAATCATATCTTCTTCGTTTTCACTCGGATTTTAATTTTTTTTTTTTTGCACAGATGGAACGAGTTCGTGGTATTCTACAAAATGAGATCCATTTTCAATGTTTTTTGAGAATTTTTTTTCTTGCCTCTCGGAACCAACTGCATACCATATGGTATCTTCTTCGTTTTTAATTCATTTTTTAAAACGTTTGCACAAAAGGAACGAGTTCATCATGATCTATTGGATCTACAAATTTTTAGGGGCGAGTATTAATGTCATGCCTTATCAAATGTTTAGAAAGTTAGACGTAGGTGAATTAAATCCTACTTAGATGAATATCCAGCTTGATAATAGGTCTATCATTTTCCCCAAGGCCATAGTTCATGATTTACTTGTTAAGGTAGATCGTTTCATATTTCCAGCTGACTCTGTTATCCTAGGCATGCTTGGAGATATCGATGCTCCTCTTATTCTCGGTAGATCATTTCTATCAACAACTAAATCCTTCATTGATGTACAAGGTGGTAAACAGACGTTAGGGGTAGGAAATGAAGAGGTCACATTCACTAATCAGGCTAGGGTACACACCACTGAAGAGTGTGATGAGTTGAATTTTCAAAGGATTTAACTAATTTATATAGTGTGCATTCTTCCCTATACTATATGTCTGATGACCCTCTTGAACAATTCCTTGTGCTAGCTACAGAGATTGCATTGGACATGAACCTAAACGAGCAGCTAAAATCATTGGATAATGGAATGGAAGAAGAAGCGGATGAGAAGATGGAGCCTCTTCCAAACATAAAGCGAATTGCACCATCAATCGAAGAATCGTTGAAGCTGCCACTGAAGCCCTTACCAGAGCATCTATAATATGCTTTCTTACGGGAAGACTCAAAACTTCCGATGATTATCAATGCGAACCTCACTATAGAGCATAAGTGGGCTCTCATTCAGCTGCTAAGGAAACACGGGAAGGCTATAGCTTGGAAGATAACAGATATTAAAGGAATCGGCCCATTCTTCTACACAACAAAATTAAAATTGAGGAAACAGGCAACCCAGTGATTCAACCCCAACTTCGCCTCAATTCCAACATGGTGGAAGTCGTTAAGGCACAAATAATCAAGTTGCTTGATGCAAGAATCATCTATGCGATTTCGGATAGTACTTGGGTGAGTCCGACTCAAGTGGTACCTAAGAACGGGAGAATGACAGTTGTCACAAATTAAAATAACAAACTCATTCCTACACGAGCATTCATAGAATGGCGGGTTTGTAATGACTATCGAAAGCTTAATTAAGTTACTAGAAATGATCATTTCCCCTTTTCATTCCTCGATCAAGTTTTGGAATTACTCGCTAGTCACGACTACTACTATTTCCTGGATGGGATGTACGGTTACTTCCAGATCCCTGTTTCCCTAGAAGACCAAGATAAGAAAACTTTCACCTGCTTTTTGGAACATTCTCCCTTAGAAGAATCCCCTTTGGACTCTGCAATTGCTACTTTTGATAATTTGGTTGGGGATATAATGGAGGTCTTCATGGAAGATTTTCCTATATATGTTTGTGGATTCTTTCGACCTTTGCCTTCGGAATGGAGAAAGTATTGGAGAGGTTTGTTGAAAATAATCTCTTGGTCAGTTGGGAAAAGTGTCATTTTGTGGTTCAAAAAGGGATAGTGCTCGAACATAAAATATCCAAAAAGGGTATTGAGGTGGATAGTTTGAAAGTGGAGACCGTTCTCAAGCTACCCCCACCAACTTCGTTAAAAGGAATTGGGAGTTTCCTCGGTCATACTGGTTTCTGTAGGAGATTCATACAAAATTTCTAAAAAAAATTGCTCTTCCTCCCACCAGATTACTTGAGTGACGCAATTTTCAAGTTTTCTGCAGAATGCGAGGAGGCATTCGAGATATTGAAGAAGCTATTGACCACTGCACCATTCATGGTGACTCCAGACTGGACACTTTCGCTTGAGTTGATGTGCAATTCAAGCGACTTTGTCGTGGGAGCAGTATTGGGTCAGCAGAGAGAAAACCACTTTCAGCCTATCTGCTAGCAAGTAAGACTCTGAACAATGTTCCGTATCACCTAGTCTATGGAAAAGCATGTCATCTTCCAGTGGAGATGGAGCATAGGGCCTATTGGGCCATCAAGCCTCTTAACTCCACTGATACGCTTGTGGGAAAGGAACGAAAGCTACAATTGATGGATCTTGAAGAGCAGATACTTCAAGCGTATGAAAATACTAGAATTTACAAGGAAAGAACAAAGCGATTTCATGACGCTTGGCTACACCAGCACAGGATTTCAAGGAAGGGGATAAAGTACTCCTTTACAATTCCGGACTGTAATGGTTTCTGGTGAAACTTAAATCTAGGTGCTATGTACCTTTTGTGGTCACTAAAGTTTTTCCATATGGATTCGTGGAAATTGCCATTGTCAAGAGAGGTGAGTTCAAAGTTAATGGTCATAGGCTCAAGCTCTGCCTTAGTAGTGTGTCAAATCGTGCCGAAGAAACTCTCCTCTTAACGGATCCCTAACATCCACGGTACCTTCGTTTGAACATCAGGTTCTCACGTGAGAGGCAACCAATCCTCACAGATTCGTAGTGCCCTTTGAGGATATGCTTTGGGATCGGATAACTTTACCGTGTCTTGACCATCTTTCACTAATTACCATCCCCCATGCATCTTTCCTCCTCACGGAATTGTATGCCAAGGTCCAAAGTACCTTTTAGTGATTCATGAGTCCTCATAGCTCTCGTTTGTATCCATCATGTGTGGTAACCCAATGTAGAGTGCAGGCTGGGAAGTGGTGCTCTGGCTAAGACGAATCCTTCCATCAACTTACCCAAATGTGACCTTGAAAGAGAAGGGTCTGATTCATCAGCTCATGGTCGTGAGGGAGAGATGCTTTGTTCATAAAAGATTTTCAAAAACTTGGTACAATGCGCGTCAACGTCGAAAAATGATACCAATAAACGACAACTCCTAAATCTAAAAAGAGAAGAAAAGAGCTCCTTCGAGAGTCTTGTGCTTATTTGTTGTTTGATAATCCCTTGGTGCAAACCTTGAATGTTCGTCCTTAGATAGTAAGTATGATCCTCGCCCGAGAGTTTGTGCTTGCACGGTAAGATGATAGTAATGTACATTCTTCTCCGTCTACTCTTCTTTATGCAATGAAGAACTAGACTGCATTCCCCATTACTTTTTATATCATGTTGCATTAGTTTGAGTAGGTTTGCTTGGGGACAAGCAAACGCCAAAGTGTAGGGGAGATTGATAAGACCTAAATTGGTATTATTTACCCTTCATAGTAAGGTTTGTTTCGTGCCATTTCATGTGTATACTTGTTTGATCAATGTCAATTTCATCCCTATTTCTTTCTTATTTGATTTAATCGTGATTTTAGGGTGCTTTAGACAATACATGTGAATTAGGTACAAAATAAGGTCACAAGTGTAGCAATAGGGCAGAAGACTGAAGATTGCTACTTGTAGCCAAAGATCATAGCCGTGAACCAAGCTAAAGATCGCGGCCTGGAATCCCAAGATCGCGGGTCAAATCCATCAAGGAGAAAAATATCCCGACCTGGGTAATCAACTTGCACGGATGTAATCGATCATCTCCCTTTTGGTCAAACTTGTCTTAGTTTGGGGTAGAGATATGTGCATAAGCTATGCACCCAAAGAGTTTGACGTGATCTACGTGTGGCCTCTTATAGTGCCACACACGTATCAATGTCTTGTTCCAAAATGCTTTGGTTGGTGATCTCTTGAGGATGTAAACTGTTGTATTGACGTATCCTGCTCACAAATTCTTGGGAAGCTTTTAGCCTTTAAACATACTTATTGCCATCTCCACAATCATGCGGTTTTTCCGTTATGCCAAACCATTTTGTTATGGTGTGTAACGGAGAGCCAAGTGTCATTTAATTTTATTTAATACTCCATGAATGGTGTATAAATAAATTATCCTCCACGATCTGTTCGAATAGTTTCAATATGATTACCGTTTTCCTTCTCAACTACTAATTGGAATGGAAGGAACTTGGAAAAGACTTCTGACTTTTGCTC